AGGCAGATTTTGCCCCACAGAGATTATGAAAGAGACAGAGGACGAGAGAGAACAGAACAGTACACAGAAGTCATCGGCTGTAAAAAAAAAAATAAAAATAAAATCATAACCGTACTAGGTCCAGAACTGAATGATTTGATAACTGCCTCTTTTAGGTTGTTAATGTAAACTTACGAGGTTTCAAATGAATGGATCACTGTAAAGCATTGGTTTGAGAGAGAGATTTTCAAAAGGCCGTAAATGAAAGCAAGCAGACCTCTCAATTCATAAATATCGGACTTCAAGTAAGACTAGTGGATATGCTCTCTATAAAAAGCTCACAACCCATGTCATATACATTCTGTATAGTAGTGGTGATGTTTCTACCCATTTAGCACAAAGTTGCTTTGGATACCAAAAAGCGGTGTTTCCCTCTCCAATAAATCAATTTTATTTTCATGTTCACTCATGTGCTGACACCAGTAAGATCATGTACTATTAAATCGGCCTGCATGCCTACCCTACATGTTCTATAGACTCACACTTGTGGGTTACAGACTTTTACAAGACAGTACCATTTTTCCGCCCGCTTCTCTAGATCTTTTTGGTCCCTTGTACTTGTAAACAAGGAGGCTGAAAAATTGTTCCAAAGCGGGCGGTTGAGGTAGCCTACCTGCTGTGTAACCTTCTAACAACATTTTCTTTTGAGTCAACCCTATTCCCGTGGTTCAAACTACCTGCTGAGGTTCCAGGAGGTCAATTTAGACAAACACTACATTTACAGACTTTTGATTGAAATGGTGCTCAATAAAAAGGGAGGTTTAAGCGGTCCTTAGGGTGTATATAGTGAAAAAAACAATCTGGGACAGCTGGTTTAGACATCCAGTCATTCTTTGTTGAAAAAAAAAAAAAAAAAATCATAAAATGGAAACCCAGAAAAATGGAAAGCATTTTGTACAGCCAGAGCAAAACACATATGACTCACAGACACAATGTCCTCCTAGCTCTGCTGTAAAAAGTGCAGGGACTTTTGTATATTGATACTCTTAACATCTTAAGCATGACAAACTCCCTCAAAACAACAAATGTGACTTGTTAATGTCTGTCCATCGTGCTCCAGTTCAACCAAGCTGAAACTAATGTATCATGACCCCTGAAAAATTCCACCTCGCACTGCAATGCTGGGAAATTGAGATCAGACTCTTGGCAGCGTTGGTCTTTGATGAGGGGAAACAGCGTCATCTTGGTGATTGGGAAATAAGAGAACCAAACACTTCCAATGCTACACGCACTGTGACAATTAATCTGTCCTTAGCCAGTTTCCCTGCTATGACCTACAAGCCAGAGGCCATCATCAACTGACTGAAGCTAATGCCGATGACAAGTATGTGCAAAAGGAAAGGCAACTAAAGACCACTCATACACCACTTGCCAACTAAAGGACACGACACATAAGAGGAGAGAACAGAGGGAATGAGAGAAAACAGAGGAGCAGCAGGTGTCAAGCAGCTTAAAGCCGTCAACCTTCTTCTGGCATTAGTACAGACATTTTCTGGCCCTCTGTGGTCAGACATCCACTTGAGGTTATTGAACAGAGCCGATCACACAGCTCCTCCTCTCCCGACTGGCCAGTAACAGCATCATCATTCAATCCTTCTCCACCCTTTTCCTGCACGCTGTCCCTTGGAGCCCTGATGAAGTAACATGGACACTACAGAAGGGCCTTTATTGCCAAATCAAATGATTCAATATTATTTCTACCGCTTATGCAGTTTCTATAACGGGAGGTTAAGAGCAATGGGTTATCTAGAACTTAGGAATTCATTACAGTAAGAAAGGAAGGAAAGGAACAAAGGCAAACAGTATTTTGTTAGAAACACTCTTTAATCATTAAAGGTTTCAAAGATCACTTCGAAATCAATGTTTTTTTGTTTTGTTTTTTTTAATAGTGCCAAGGGCAGACATAACCAAACCACAAATGTTCCTCATCATTTACAAGGCCATGGTATCATTTAGATCTGACGATTTATCAACATTTCTTGCGTAGTCTCTCCATCTAAACATCCTACACATATTAATCTCCGCTTAGACAAAAGAAACACAGTAACATGACAGCGCTTTTACTAGAATATGAATCCAATTAGCATCTGTTGGGAGAACTGATGTTGGTTTAGTGTCCTCTGATCATGTTTGATTGGTCATGGCGAATCTCACAGATGAGTAAACACATGGACTATACAGCATCTGGATTAAGATAATAACTATTGCAAAAGAAATCAGCTATGAAGAGGTTTTCGGGAGCCTATCCATGTTCTCACGGTACTAACCCCCTAACCCTAGATCTGGGGAACATATGACCCTGGGAACGTAGCACCATTTGTCATGTTCCCATTATGTGCCATATCAATCTGGGGAACATAGGGCCGACCCCATTTTTCCCTTTTTTTCCCCTTTTCTTTTCTTTTCTTTTCTTTTCTTTAACCTTTATTTAACCATGAATAAGATAAAATCTCTTTTTCAAGGGAGACCTGGACAAGAAAGACAGCAAAACAGCATTTAAATGTTACATTGACACACAAGACGTTTACATTTAAACGTCTTCCAAGACACCTATACATACACTTAAAGAGTCTATGGGAAGCATCTACACTCCTCTTTAAGGACATGTGCATCCAGGGACTGGTACCCTAAAAATCTTTTGTAAGGAGTTCCATGTTGAGGGTGCACAATGTGAAAAGGCAGTATTTCCTAACTTGGAAACAACCCTGGGGACTTTTAAGCAGTGGCCTGCTAGTCGGTGTGTGGTAACTACTGACCGTAAAGTTAAAGAGGCTACAAAAGGTATAATGAGTAATTTTCACAGGATTTCCTTGTAGATAAAACGCACAAATGTAACACTCTCCGTGTAGCTAGAGAAGGTCATTCCACCATTTCATTAAACTACAATGATGGGTAAACGATCTGGCATTTGTGATAAAGCACAACGCTGCATTGTAGGCAGAACGTAGTGTAATCATGTGCTACTTCTACTTAATATTTGGGCAAGACAACAAAAAATATAGATACATTTGCTACACAGAGTAAATGAGCGTGAATCTATAAAAAAAGGTGAGGCAAAGGATTAAGGCTCCACAGACACATCTTACCCAGTTGTCCACCAGCAGCCTCCGGCAGAAGGCTTTGATGAATTTGTGAAAGCACAAAGAAGTATGCTGGCAGCCAATTAGAATAAAGCGGCAGGAGATTGTATAATAAATCACAGCTTGAGTAAAAAGCCATGTGCAGACTCAATAAATTCACTGAAACTTTATATGTTAATGAAAACACAAAAGTTCCGGAGGGATCTTTGGCGCTTTTGGAGTACAGGATAGTGAAACCATCAGCTCTGATGGTGAAACAAAATCCAAGAACAACTGCAGCAATGGAGGTGTTCCATAGTACCCTGAGGGAGATAGAGCTGGATGTTGGAGACAAAGCAGTTTGACAATAGATATGACTGGGTTCACAGTGCCCTCATGTCCCTGCCACAACATTTTGTTTCAATTCCACTCCAGACAGGACTAAAACACATCCACTCAAGTAAAACACAAACATTTCCGAGATTAGAACCTCGCGTTTGAAACAATAATAAGACAAATACGAGCTCAAAGATTCAGAGACGAGCATGAGTTTGGATGAGTCATCTGACCTAGGTCTAAGCCTCACCCACCACAAGGCCTGCCAATGTGCAATACAGAAAAGATCCCCCAAGCGTCCGAGACACTGACCACATCATGGTCAGGGAGAAGAACCATGAATTAGTCTGTCAGGAAGAAAAGGGAGATACAGACAAGACAGCTCAGACTACCGTTCTCACTGACAGAGGTCTCACAAATGAACCTTAAAGCAGGAGTATGCTCAAGCCTCCGGGGCCTCCTGTGACTTTTACAGAGATTTGACAGAAAAGCCTCACAATCAGCCAGAGATCACAACAGGATTTCTGTTTATCCATGCAGTATATAATCCTTCTGGATTTTTCGAACAACTCTTTGGAACATCATGTATTTCATGTGGTTCCAAAGGATCATGGCAAGCATTTGCTAATCCCAGTAGTGATCTTTTTCTTTTAAAGACAACACACCAAGCCATTTCCATGTCATTTATCATTAAAAAAAAAAGAGAGAGACTGACACAGTGATCTTTATGGAAAAAACACTAAATAAACTAATGTCTGTATTTACATATCATGTGTTGTAAAACGTTTGGCCAATAAATGGGCCACAGTAAACAGCTGTAATGTTAGGAAAACTATTCAGCTAGAAAAAACACAACACTTGTTTAATCCAGACAGTATGTCCTTCAACACAAGTCCTGCCAAACCTAACAGCCTCAACTATCCACACAACAATGATGGATATCTTCTGGTTTACAATGTTGGGGTAAGGATGGTCGAGGAGGACTATTTTCATTCTGCTGCCTGTGGTTTAAACAATTCATACTTGGATGTGGAATGGATTTAAGATGTGTTCCTAACACTTAAAACAAACTTACATGCTACTCAAATAAAACACAAAAACCTATAGTAATTTTACATTTACATTATATTTTCACTTTACATGCAGCGTACATGTTAGAGGGATGGATTCATAAAACTACTACACAGCTACAAAATCTGCAAAGTCCCAGTGCTGATTTTTGTTGCTCCATATATTATTGAGCAACAAATAGTATTGCTATTTAGCAATACAGATAAAGCCCAGCTTCTCAAACAGTATACAACAACATGAGTGAAGGCTAAATGTCCCTTGTGGAGAAAATAACAACAATAACATGTTGAAACAGCAAACCCTTTAACAAACAACAGAACTCAAAGTTAGCTTAACCTATCTTACCTTAAAAATGCACTTTATCTTGAAACATGCTGCAACGTAGTAAACGGGGGCCTTTCATATGGACGCTGAACCTCTAGCGTAAAATGCTTACGCTTTGTCACGCTGTCTGAAAGCGTCAGTTATGACGCATTGAGATGACAGTGTGTTGGGCCGTGCATTTGACTTGCAGAGTCAGATACTCGTTCTTCCAACAAATTAAATCACAATCTAAACTATGAAGGGTCGTTAAGACAACACTTACCGGTGGAACAAAGCACCTGGTGGGCCGCAGGTATGTAATCGGTTAACTCAACTTGTTGGGTAGCCGGCAGAAGTGATATATTTAATTTTAACTGAACGCCGTCACTGCTTGAAGCCCGTCATAACTGGAAGAAGAAGAGCAGCCATCTTCTTATAGTTATTATAATACATATTTTTCAAGCAACATTTCAAACAGAGTTGCAACTTTGTACACTTGTTTCAATTCTTCTTTATTGTGCAGCAGGTGGAATATTTTTCATTCTGGTTGGATTGTCTTTGAAAAATCTGGAAATGTCATCAAAACATCCGGAAATTTTATCAACCAACCTGTTCACACCATGGACTTGAAAGTTGTTCCTGCAGCTGCAGAATGATGATAATCACATCATCCTCATGAACCAGAAGGAGAGTGAGGAGTTATATGAGACATAATACAACATGACTGACATGTGGAGTATTTCAAAAAAAAAGGTGCAAGTACATCCATAAATACACAATTATGCAGATCAGCTACCAAAACAGTGCTTTGCTGTGCTGTGTAGTGGCTGGTTATATGACCCCCGGGCCTGGAACCAGAAATGTATTTTTTCAGAACATTGTCAAATAAACAGCTGTAAAACTAACCATGCTCAGATATTCAGAAATATTATTTGAATACACATAATTTCAACCATTTGTTCTAATAGTGGCACAATTTGACCAAGTAGTGATTAAGAAAATTATTATTTTGCTAACAATCAACATCAAATCCCATGAAGCTTTGAAAGTGCAGACATGGCTGCACATTCTCTTATGTGTAATGCACACAGTCAAGCAACTTTTGTTGTCAATCATGGTCATTTTAATCATGATGTATAGGGCTGAAATCAACAGCCAACTTTTGTTGTCAATCATGGTCATTTTAATCATGATGTATAGGGCTGAAATCAACAGCCAACTTTTGTTTCCCACTGATGTTTCTTATTCATCATCAGCTCCCCAAATGCTGTGGGGTTAACAAAATACATGCTTAAGATTGGGGTAATAGTACACCCATCATTCCAGTGGAGCAGAACACTGGCTGTGAACATGAACAAGTCTGCGCTGACAACAAGTTGTGAACTAAGGATCTGCTCAGCAAACAATGGCAGACTTATGTTAAACATTCAGAGATGCAGTAAAAGTTATGAATGACTACACACGTTGTAAAACCAAGTGTGAGCTACTTCTACCTTGGCTTTAAATAACAAAACAGAGCAACACTTGCATGTTGATGACAGACTTAAAGACAGCTGAAGAACAGAGAAGGCTGATTTCATTAGCTCTATGAGAACAGGCTGTTCAAATCAATGAGAACAGAAAACAAAATCCAGATTGATGATTATGTTTTAAATCACCATGAAAAGCGGCCAACCACGGTTGGTTCTGCAGGGTAGTGAAGTGGTAGTTTATCTTGAAGAACTAGCTATTTATTCAGATTGCTTTCTCTTAATAGTATAATCAGAGAAATGTATTGACAGAAAATTGTCTAGACACATTGGCTTTTTATTTCAAGCAACGAATGATACAGACTTTATATGCCTTCAAAGCATACCTCTCTCCCACCACAGATTTATTTGTGCTGTATGTCAGGATAAATCCCAGTCTGTTTAGTTGTAAATTAAGACCTGGGTCAGTCTGCTGACCACTGATGGTGGTCTGGATCTCCCAGTAAGTACAGTAATCTCTGCTGCTATTCCTGGGTGGCCCCGTAAACATACTTTAAGAAGATATTGGAGGTTTTTATACTCCAGAGAGATAGTATTAATCTTATGAAACTTGATCTCTCTGATTCTCAATAAGATGATATATGTAGTTTGAACTTAATGATTATATGTGAGCAGCATAAAATGAACAATCATCTTTGGAATAATCACTAGGAATTCATATGGCTACAATCTGAAATATGATACTATACAAGAGAGATGAGGCATCAGTAATGGTCCCACCATTTCATCATTAAAAGACACACTGAGGCATTCATAGATACACAGAGAGGGGGGGTGCATCAGAGCACTGTCTTTGTGTGACATCTGCGGTAGTAATTTAAGTCTTCATCTCTCAAACTGTCTTGCCTTACTCCAGATCCCCTCATGCCTTGATATTTTGCTGACTTAACAATTGAAAGACGTATGAACAATGAGAAAATATTGATAGTGTAAACGGAGTTGGTGCGCTGGTGATCTGCGGAACAAGAACACATGGCAATCACACTCCCAACTCCTCTCCAACAAAGTGAAAATGGAATAAAATGTAATGTAAATGTAATTCCCCTTTTTCTGACAGGAAAATATTGTTTATAGTGATATAAAGATTATATCAAGGCACCACTGTGAATTGATTATGCCTCTTCAACTCAAAACCACATCCTGTTTGAAATTCATTAATCCACATACCATGTTTTACAGGATGGGGTTTTAAGTGATTAGTCTTCTCACACATCCTTTTTACAGGAATCCACCTCGATGAAATGAGACTGGAGTAGTTTGTTGACCACATCCCGAGAGACAGACTGCAAAGTTGGCAGTGTTGGGCAAGCTACTTGGAAATTTTAGTGAGCTAAGCTACTAGCTATTCTACATTAAATTAAGCTTCACTACACAGAAGCTACGCCCCAGGGAAATGTAGCAATCTAAGCTACATCAACATGGCTAAAGTAGCTTAGTTACATATACACACACATATTATATACACTGCTCAAAAAAATAAAGGGAACACTTCAACACTTCAAGTCAATCACACTCCTGTGAAATCAAACTGTGCACTTAGGAAGCAACACTGATTGACAATCAATTTCACATGCTGTTGTGCAAATGGAATAGACAACAGGTGGAAATTATAGGAAATTAGCACCCCCAATAAAGGAGTGGTTCTGCAGGTGGTGACCACAGACCACTTCTCAGTTCCTATGCTTCCTGGCTGATGTTTTGAATGCTGGCGGTGCTTTCACACTAGTGGCAGCATGAGACAGAGTCTACAACCCACACAAGTGGCTCAGGTAGTGCAGCTCATCCAGGATGGCACATCAATGCGAGCTGTGGCAAGAAGGTTTGCTGTGGCTGTCAGCGTAGTGTCCAGAGCATGGAGGCGCTACCAGGAGACAGGCCAGTACATCAGGAGACGTGGAGGAGGCCGTAGGAGGGCAACAACCCAGCAGCAGGACCGCTGCCTCCGCCTTTGTGCAAGGAGGAGCAGGAGGAGCACTGCCAGAGCCCTGCAAAATGACCTCCAGCAGGCCACAAATGTTCATGTGTCTGCTCAAACGGTCAGAAACAGACTCCATGAGTGTGGTATGAGGGCCCAACGTCCACAGGTGGGGGTTGTACTTACAGCCAACACCGTGTAGGACGTTTGGCATTTGCCAGAGAACACCAAGATTGGCAAATTTGCCACTGGCGCTCTGTGCTCTTCACAGATGAAACCAGGTTTACACTGAGCACATGTGACAGACGTGACAGTCTGGAGACGCCGTGGAGAACGTTCTGCTGCCTGCAACATCCTCCAGCATGACCGGTTTGGCGGTGGGTCAGTAATGGTGTGGGGTGGCATTTCTTTGGGGGGCCGCACAGCCCTCCATGGGCTCGCCAGAGGTAGCCTGACTGCCATTAGGTACCGAGATGAGATCCTCAGACCCCTTGTGAGACCATATGCTGGTGCGGTTGGCCCTGGGTTCCTCCTAATGCAAGACCTCATGTGGCTGGAGTGTGTCAGAAGTTCCTGCAAGAAGAAGGCATTGATGCTATGGACTGGCCCGCCCGTTCCCCAGACCTGAATCCAATTGAGCACATCTGGGACATCATGTCTCGCTCCATCCACCAACGCCACGTTGCACCACAGACTGTCCAGGAGTTGGCGGATGCTTTAGTCCAGGTCTGGGAGGAGATCCCTCAGAAGACCATCCGCCACCTCATCAGGAGCATGCCCAGTTGTAGGGAGGTCATACAGGCACGTGGAGGCCACACACACTACTGAGCCTCATTTTGACTTGTTTTAAGGACATTACATCAAAGTTGGATCGGCCTGTAGTGTGGTTTTCCACTTTGATTTTGAGTGTGACTCCAAATCCAGACCTCCATGGGTTGATAAATTTGATTTCCATTGATAATTTTAGTGATTTTTGTTGTCAGCACATTCAACTATGTAAAGAAAGGAGTATTTAATGAGATTATTTCATTCATTCAGATCTAGGATGTGTTATTTTAGTGTTCCCTTTATTTTCTTGAGCAGTGTATATTACGCATACACACACACACACACACACAGAATAGGCCTAGTTTATATTGAACTAACTTCATTCCACAGTACCAATAGAAGTAAGACCTTCTCCAAACTGTGTGTGTGTGTGTGTGTGTCAGAGCTAAATCACACAAACTCTCCTACTTACTGCTATATCATTGCAGCTAAATTTCCTCATGCAACAAACAGAGAACCACTGTTTTGTGCTCTGGCAACATTGCAACCTAAACATTAATGGCAATGGGCGAGAACGAGAGAGAGAGATACAAATCTCATCTCATGGAAACAAGTTTGTGCGACTACATATCACAGTTTCCTCCTCACTAGAAGAAGGTGTCCAGGCTGGACCCTGATCCTTCTCACAAGAGGTGTTACAATAACTATCACAATAGAAAGTAAACTCAATCGCGCGTCTTTATGCCCCTGCAGCAAAGTCGCAGACATCAGCCCAGGGATCGGTATGTGATGTCACCGTCACACGGAAGCACTTCTGCCGGCTACACACACAGGTTCATGTGTGGCGGTGGCGTCACGTACTGATCCTTCAGAAATGCTTGGGAAAATTTAGCGTGTGAGGAAGCTAACGCGCTACTCGGTCAATAAAAGAGCTTCGTTACTGAAAAGCTATTTGATTCAGAAAATAGCAACGCTACCACCAAGCTACTGAAAAATTTAATTAGTAACTACTTGTAGCGACGCTACTGTCCAACACTGAAAGTTGGCATTGGGAGGTGTACCATACCACAAAACTCAGTAGGCTTTGAATGTAGGGATCAGACTGTGTCAGGCTGGAGGGTGTGTCCTTTGCGTGTGTGTCTTCAGAGCTGACGTCGTCTGTGTAACACTCCAGACAACCACAGTTTAACCAACAAGTGCCCAGGCAAACACACAGGAGCAATGTAGTCATGGTTAGAACAGCGCCACAGTACGTGTGAGACACAAAGTTAGATGGAGCATGTTTCTCAGAAAGACTGGATTACACAGAGACTGTTATGCCAATTTAAAATTTGAATTCAACACCTCTTCTAGTGTTTGCATGTCATAATTCATAATGATCTAAATACAAAAGGAAGCACATAACAAGGTGAGATTCTAGGGTAAAGAACAAAATGGGGACATCATTTTAATTAATACAACAGTATTCCTTTTATTCCCTCCATAACTTGTGTGTTTGTGAAAAACACTAAATTTTTTAACAGTGCATATCAATAAATGCTTTCTTAACATGGGTGTGCTGCCCTCACAATGTGAATATGGACTATGCCTAGAAAAAAACGAGTCCGTTAACAACAAAATGCATCTGTTTCTGGACTCCACATGGAAGTTCAATAGCATGCTATAGAGCAAACAAAAATAAATGTTATATTTC